GCTCCGGCAGCCCCACGGGTGACCACGTCGGCGGCGCTTGGGGTCTGTTGTTCTCTTCCCCGCTGTGGGGGAGGGAAGTCTAGAGGGAGCCAGACTAGCCAACTGTTTTCCAAATAATTGTGTGCTCGGTTTTGATTTAGGAGGCAAGACTTAGTCTTCCTGTTTACAGCAATTTCCTGGGTTTTGCCCAATTAGCCGTAGAGACAGGTTTATCGCCGCTGATCTAACAATAATATACTTTGCATTCAGAGCTTTTTAGCTCAAAGCACTTTATAAACATTCGTTTAAGCCTCACAAACCCTCTTGTGTTGGTAGGTATTATGAAATGTGTTTTCCATCTGGGTAAACTAAGGGGCAGAGATTGCAACTTGCGTAACGTCAGCCGAAACGCAGGGAGGAAGAGAACCCGGGACAGGCTGCCCTGTGCCTGCCAGCTCGGAGCACGCGAATCTTTGAAGGAAGGCTGGGTCAGATCGTGGGAGCGTGGCGTGAGCTGCCCACCCTGTCTTGCTTTTGGCTCCGGGGCTAGGCAGAAAGCAGCGGGTTTGTTCTGCGAGTGAGCCGCCCCTCCTGTGCGCTGTGCCAGGCAGCTTTGGGCTGCGCTCTCCCCGTTCAGGTGTGTCTGCCCCCACCTAAACTCTGGGCCCTCCCTTCCTAGCTGTGGACACCCACGTGCACAGGATCACGAACAGGCTCAAGTGGGTGAAGAAGGAGACCAGAAGCCCCGAGGCAACTCGGGTAGCGCTGGAGGACTGGCTGCCCAGGTGAGGCCTGAGCCCCCCCCCCAAGGCTCCTTCTGCCGCACCAGGACCCTCGAGCGAGCTGCAGGAGACACCTAATCCTGCGGACAGCGTTGTCAGTCACTGCGCTTTGGGGCCCTCCTCTTTGTGGGGGACTGGTCTGCAGGTGTTACTCCTTAGAGAGCTGCAGGATCAGCACCTCAGCTCCTTGGGTGGTTCCTGGCTGTCAGATGTGTCGCTCCTCACTAGCGCAGCCCGCTACCTGGAGGGCTTGATGCCCAGGTCTTGCCTTGACAAGTTTACCACGACCCAAGCCAGGTGCTTTCCTACACAGCCCCTTGCTGAGCCTCATGGCCACAGCACTATCAGACCACGGTTGGATTTTGGCTGTCATTGCTGCTTAAATCTTCCATCTCAAATGCCAGCTGCCCGGTACTCTGTTGCAGCACCACATCTGGCACTAGAGCCTGACCCCCCCCCCCCAGGCACTTTGTGTTGCTGTCCTCTGCTCCCCGCTCCTGGTGCAGTGGGATCAGGAAGGGTTAGGAGGGCTGTTCTTAGCAGGAGGCTGGGACCTGCCTCCAGGCGCCTTGGGAAGCCAGGAGGAGCGGGCCATAGGGGAAAAGAAGCCATTTGAAAGCACGGGCTGTTCTTTAACCCCTCTGAGCAGCTGTACCGCAACGCTCACGTTTTCCCTCTCACTGCAGGGATCTCTGGAGGGAGCTAAACTGGCTCTTGGTGGGCTTTGGCCAGCAGACCTGCCTGCCCGTGAACCCTCGCTGCAATGAGTGCCTCAATCGAGACATTTGCCCAGCTGCTAAGAGACGCTTGAGGGATCAGCCGGGCTTCGGAGAGCAACAAAGCTGCTTCGGCTCGGCGGCAGCCCGGAGCTGAGCCCTGGTAAAGCTGGGCTTCGCACGGGGCT